GTTACGAGAGCCATATTTTAAAGCAGAACAATCCTGGAATTAAACGTTGGATTAAGTTTTCTTATGTCTCGAACAAGGCTTGTCACAATCCTCAAACAGCTGTTGTTACTGTAAACGATATAGCTGAAATTAGAATTAAAGGTATATTACAGCTTGCATGTAAATCAATTCTGTAAGAGGATTTGACAGTACAAGAATTTCTCGTCTCTCGATGTTCTGCTCTTGTTAAAGTGATGAGTAAATCTGCAGTACCTCAAAAAAATTTCATTCTAAATGTTTATTCCGGAGCAAACAGCGATTATGTGACAATTAACAATAAAGAAGTTCCAGAAGAAAATTTGTAAGCTATCTTAGAGAACTTAACTCAGAACTATGTTACTCAGACAGTCTTATTAATATATTCCTTCATTCAGTCTTACGAATTACGTACACCAGTATCGTAATCTTCTTTATCGATCAGTTCAGCAGATATAAAATCTTGTTCAAGTAGGACTCATTAATATCTCGAATTGGAAGAGGAATGTTTTTGGCACACCTTTCAACTAACCAGCAGTTGATGTAAAAATAGTTTGGTGGTTAAAGAAATTGAATAAGGAAGTAGTATCCAACTGTACAAAAAGGCTGAACAGGAAAACAAAGATAACTGCTGTAAAACAGATAGGGAAAAATAACGAGGAGGAAACATCAGTCTTCAGAAGACAAAACTGAAAGATAAAGGGTAAGAAATCTCTGGAATCTTGCCAGTCTGAAGATGAACCTTTAGAAACATAAAAGGCATCTTGTGGGATGAATTATACTTGCAGGCAGCTAAAAGGATAAGTTGAAGAGGACTTATGAGTTGATAGAGGACATTTAAAAAAGTGCTGTTTCCTTGATGAGCAAAATCTTAATGAACTCAGCGCATAAACTTGTGTGATCCATAATTTATCTACAAAAAATGCTACAACCCACAATTTCAGTGGAGATATATATGACTTTGGCCTCACGGCTGTAAGTAACCAGTCGGCTATTGAAAGTGATTTCTTCTTCCATTTGTCAATATTTCCTTTCTTCTGGCTCATAACTCTGTCAACGTTTGAAGAGACTGTGAAATGAGGTTCTCGCTGTCTTCTGGGGGGTACCGTGTCATGTTGTACACTTGAGATCATGCATCCTCAACGGTAATAGCAGCTGCTGTTTTAACAAATTTTAGCCTTTACTCATCCCCTGTCAACCTCTCCTGATACCATGAGTCCTTGTAATAACTGTATGACCCGTAGCCTTGAAACATATAACATAAGGCATGTTAGCTGTTACCGATACATCATCGTCATACTTTTGAAAGAAGAAGCGTGCTTTTACTGTTTTGGGATGAGAACGAAAGTCATATTCAGTTCTTCAATTGTACATTGTCATTCCTCTACATTGTTTTTAAGAAACGTGGAAATTGATCGCCTTGCAACTTCCACATAGTCCCTAGGTCTGCCAGTTTAGTAAAAGATCTAGAGTACAAAAAGAGGGTACTGCACCATCATTTCACTCAAAACATTCGGTCATGATTTAGCATTTGCAGATGTAGCAAAAAGAGTAATAGAGCTATTTCCTATAAATTACGAGTAGTTGGCTTTCTGCCCATGTACCTCGCTGATGTTCAGTAAATCCATTAATATGATCTAAGTACACTAGAGAAAACCCTCAATAATTCATAAAATAATTAATTTCAGACGTATAACGTTGATATTAGACCACCGTTGAGCAGCTAGAAGGGCGCTTTTTGCGTTTTTTCATGGAAAGTAGCTTTTACGGAGAGTGGCTTTCACGGAGAGCCAAAACGTGGCTTTTGATTCAGCGCACTCTAGCGGCGTTGTAGATTGTCTGAACATTAAACTAAATATGCGCGTTTTGTATAAAATTTTATCTACTTTAATGTCCTGTAGAGTAGTCACCTTAAAATGCTTAGCTTTTGAGTTATAAGCAAAAGACTGAAAAAAACGTGTTAAACTTTTGAGGGTTTCCTCGATTTTTGTTGTGAAGTTGCTTTCTGGCAAGGAGAGTAATAGAGTAGCAAATCTAAAATTCGGATTCAGAAACACAAAAATAATTTAAATAATTTAAAATTTTCATCAGATCCATTTGATCTCTTTTCCCCTCCTAACAGAATGTGAACTGATAAAACGTGAGATCAGTTCATCTATTGTGAGACTGTACTATGTCAAGAAAATATGTGAAATCTTTATTCTAATAATAACGTAGAGAAATTTCAATTTTCTAATTCCAGTCTTCCAGAAATTTTATGAAGTGCAATTAACATTAGTTTTATGAACTGTTTGAGTCGAATGTTCTTTATTTTTCTGTAGAGTTTGAAAATAAATAAAATTTTCGTAAATTCTTGTAAATTTCTACTATGCATAAATACCACCAGAATTCATAACATAAAAGCATATTTGAAAGATAAAGTCACTGATTTTGCCACTATCAGCATTAATTATATCAGTATTTAACTTTAATCTGGCATTAGGATGAATTAATAATGGATTTATACAATTCATTTGCTGATTTGCTTGGAAATACATTGTAGTGCACTCTGCAGAATTGAATTATGATCTTACATTTCATAAATATGTGTATTTCCTTATTTAACGTATTATGCTGTATTTACACTATATTAATACCCAAATATTATAACCAACTTTTGAACACATGTAATTAAAACTTATATTTATTAATATACTGTTTAAAAATTTGGCGTTCAGCAGCATGCCCTTCAGGAAAAATCAGGATATGTCCTTGGTGCTAGCGAACACCAATAGCAAATCTATAACGATGGCCTGGTTTTGAATCGCTAAGAAAGCATGGATGTTTGTAGTTGCTTTTCACCTTGCGGGTGTTGCATCGATCAGATCTGTGGTGCATCCTGGAAAATATTTTTGTTTAAGAGGCTAAATGCCAAGTAGATTCTTTCATTCCTGAGAATGCTTATCCAGCAAGTATCCTGTCATCGGAAGGGAAAGGAATCATCAACAATTTAAGACAGATCCTCTTATGCACTGGTATGACTTGCAGTTAACATTTGCCAGTCCCTTTTAAAGTTCTGACGCATGCTGAAGTTACTTTTTATCTGAGCGAATAAATGACATGAATCAAAACGAAAGTAGGAACTGAGTTTAATTATTAGTGAAATTAAAAATAATTGTTGCAAACAGCTAGCAAAATTAGCAGGTATTAAGTATCAAAATACCCTTTTCTTTTGACAGTAGAAAAAGTGTATTTGATTAGCAAATACCAAAATACTCTTTGTTTTTGATAATAGAAACAGTGTATCTGATTAAAGTGAAGAAATGCGTACCTGATTAAAATACACTGCTCAAAATAATTAGGAGTTATTGTGAGCTCGGTATAAAATAACCATATAATCGACAACTTTCTTAATAAAAATGAAATAGAAGAGTTTAAACGGAAAAAAATAATGTTAACAAAGTTGGGAATACGCGAATTTTTTCTGTGACGTCGAAAATTAATCGTTTTCGATAAAGAGTGAAAAGCGATCTGCAGCATTCCTTCTGTAGGAGGAGATTAAAATCATTAATATACGTTGAATATTTTGTAACAGTGAAAACGATGTCTCGGCAAGATAACTTAGCTGAATGGGTAGCCTGGAGGTTCATCGGGGGTTTAAAGGCGGGTCAAACGCATTGCGTTCTAGCGGAAGCATAGGAGTTTCTCAGTGTCATTTAAAGAATGTGGAATGAGTTTTAGAAAACGGGAAATGTTCGCCTAAGATCAGGGTCAGGTCGTGTCGTATGCCTGGTACAACACAAAATGAGGATCGGTATTTTAACACTAACGGTCAAAACGAAACTACATTATGAACTCTACTTTCTTGCAACAGCACCTTTGGAGGGCTACTAGTGTCAACGTTTCCACTCAAACTGTTCGAAACCGACTCAGCCACATAGGCTTCTACGCTCGCAGACCTATGGTTTGTATTTTGTTGACACAGGACCTACGTGCTGCTCGCAGAAGGTGGACACATGGGCATCTCAGATGGGGACCAGATGAGTGCAGTAACGGATGAGTCCCGCTTTAATGTACAGCCTAATAATAGGCGGAATTTTATCTAGAGAGAACCTAGTAAAGAGAATATTCCTGCATTTTGTGCACGAAAGTCTCCGATTTGACGGAGACGAAGTGATGGTCTGGGACAGTTTTTATATTAATGGCCGCTCCTACATTATCAGGAATGGAGCACTTACGGCTCAGTGATATAGGATGAGATCCTCTGAACTTTTGTGGTTCTGTACGCTGCAGCAATGGGGGATGAATTCATCTCATGGATGATAATGCCAAGGCATATCGCTAATGCACAATTTCCTTTTCGATGAAGGAACCCTTCGAATGAATTTCCAGTATATTTCCCTGATAAGATCCTAACAGAACATGTTTAGGACATTCTAGGGAGATGAGCTGCTAGTCTCTCTAATCATTCCCAGAGACAATTCAGCATTTGAAAAGTTCTCTTCTAAAGGAGTGGGAGAGAATACCCCAGTCCCTCGTTGATAACCTCATTGATTCCAAGCCTCTTAGGTGTGCAAAACGGCTTTAGGTCAGGTGAAACCATACCTCTTATTGAAACTGTTATCTCATTTGAACGTCTTATCTGATCTCTTCTAACTCTCTTTCTCGGATACAAGCAAAACTCTTATCTCATTTGTATCCAAGAAATTACATGTTTTCTTTGTTTGTACAATAAATACAAATCGTGCATTTTTTGTTTACTGACAAATATTGTCAATAAAATTGAATTATTCCTTGTTCGTTGCTTCTTTTCCTTTCTGCATATCTTACAATATCTATACATCATATATCAGTCACCAACACATTTGCTTATCCGCAGTTCGTATTCAAAGTCATAATGTCCCCTAGTTGTTCTGAGCAGTGAAAATTTAAGGATAATTCAATCATATCCTTTGACACTGCTACAAAATTGGAGAAATAATTTTCAGAAATATATTTTCACTTACCTGCAGGCAGTATCCAAGCCTCTCGATGATGGTGGTAAAGTTTGGTCTCTCATCCGGGTGCGGGTGCCAACACTGCATCATTATATGGTACCTGTAAGATGTCTATGTTTTACTTTCTTGAGGTTACGTTAACGCAGAATACAAATGTATATAATTTCCAAAGACATATTTGTACTATTCAAATGTACATTATTTTAAGTACTCATTAATATAGCCCACACAGCAGGACGCCAACGAATTACGCTGAATTCCTGGCGTATCTTAACTTGTCCAAGTTAAATTTAATAACTTCGCAGTGCCTTTCACTTTTGTATTATGTACAATTCTTTCGATATTAAAAAAATATCAATTTTTTCGCCTCTGACTTCTACAATAAAGTGACCGTCAAAATTTATAATGAAGTCCAAAAATGAGCTTATAGTGTCTCGGGCACAAATTATGTATATTTAATTCAACTGAATGTGAAATGACGCCTTTGAAACAGTTATAACCGTAAGAGGTTATCGCTAAGTTTAATACTTTCAGTGACGACAAAAACTGGTTAGGTTCCATTGTTCCATATTTATTACAAATACAAAAATAAAATCATATATAAACCAATAAATGGTATGAATTTCTTCTCTTAGAATTCCAGTGTTGCGTTAATATATGAAAGTTCAGTTACAAACACAATTTCAAAATATTTCTTAAATGATTAACCTTCTAATGACAGAAAATATAAGTAAACAAATGATAAATATACTACAATGAGGAAAACTGAAATATATATACTAAAATCTAGTTTCATGAACAATATGCTTTTGCTATTAAAAATTAATAAGTATTCTAATAATGCATGCATTAGAATAGAAAAATAGCTAAAATTGTATGGCAAATACCATCAAATGCCAGATACTAATACAGAAGTATAATTCGACCACCTAATCCGCGACCATGAGCGCAAAATCGCATGGGCGATTCGGACCGAATTATTCTCAAAATAAGGCGTAAGTATGGGGACTTCCTTTCCCTCGAACATAAAAATTCTTTCTTTTCGAAGAAGAGACTTTCACGTGACCTTTCACGTCGCAGCAAGTAATAACGCCACTTTTGGTCGAGTACATGTGTTTTGGCAGAATGCCAACCGAGGTTGCGTTTGAGACGGTCGAACTGTACTATACAGATAAATATTTCTGCAAAGCGGCAGGAAAACAGAACAAAGCAAACTGTTAAGTCATCATTATTCGTCACAAATTCGTTTCTTTGTTTGTTTATTCGAATATATACGAGGCATCTGTGTTTCAAACTAGCGGTCTGCATCTATCCATAACTTATGACCTCAATGTGGCCTCCGGAACAATTTTACATGGCTCTAGATTACATTTTAGTTAACTCGTAAATACGGTGCTTATAGTTTTAGAGACTAGAGTTGTGGAACTGAGCTTATGTACGCGATTGCTATTGAAGGAAAAGCAATAAAATCAATAGGCTGGGACTTTGCATCTGTATGTTTGTATGCCAAGCTATGTGACTGGGATAAGGAGGGATAACTTCTTACTTCAATACAATCACTAAATTTATTTTGCCAGGCCGATAGTTGATGAAGCTTCAGCATTTTGGTGTTTCCAGTGTTTTAGTTAGAACTTTTGGTACTCCACTAGTTCGTTAGCAGTATGTTCAGCTGTGCAGATTTTTCCTATAAAACTTGTTTATTTGTGCTTGTTGTTAGAAAAAAAAAAAGGAAAAAGGATTCATTTTGTTAAACAAAATTTCAGCCAGTCAATTGCTTTTAGGTCGTACTAATATTTCAGGCTCTCATGCAAATTTGAATTTGAGACTATTGCCCTAAACGAATGTTCTGACAAATACTCTTTCGAATTACGAAGGTTCAGCAGTCTTAACCCTTGGTCTAAGGGTGGGTTTGTAAATAATTTATGGAATGTAATTTGCGAAAAAAAAAATTGATAGCTGCTTCAAAAACAGGTGGCGAGTTTTAACGAAGCTACTGCATGAAAGTTTTATGTTTTCTTTATATTTTTAGAAAACACATCAACCGCTGGAAGTACCATCCATATGCTAAAGATAATTCCACTGATATGACATATGAAAACCTTTCGCTTTACAAGTAATTGAAAATTAGATTTTTATTGTGAACTAGACTTTTATCATCAACTGGACGAAGTGCATCTGTGAATGAATATATATGAGATGTAAGGAACTCGTTAAAGGATCAGAAAGTAGTTGGTATCCTCTGAAGAACATGTAGAAGTATTTTGTTGACGACTACCAGTGTGCAAAATATGGAGCTGGCTGGTACGGTTTTGTGATATTTTAGAAAGATTGACGTTTGCCTTTTTCCACGCATAAGTAAGTAGGCTGAGACGCAGTATATAAATAAACAGTTCACAGAGTTTTATTCGATTTCACTAATTTCTTTCACAGCTCTGTCCTAAATCTTCTTTAATAATTCATAATAAGGGATAAAAATTCTCTGGAAGAAATTCTTAACAAAATCAAACGTAATAAAAATTTTACAAAGTATAACAAACTGCAAAGGTTCCTATTTCATAATGTCAAAATCATTCAAACAACAATTTTATTAGTATAAGAAGGAAAACCTTGAAACTAGAAAGGCATGTTTTCGATCTGATAACAAACTGTTGTACATACATTACGAAATAACAAACTTACTTAAGCATTCGATTTATTTGAAACTTTCCAATTACTGACATTAATTCCCAAGAACAAATACATACTGCAATACGAAATTTTGCTTCTTCAAGCTTATTTCAATTTTAACTTAGTCACAATGTCTGAAGAAAACGAGTACAGTGCTTCTAAGATTTTAGAAAAACTTTGTTAAAATTAGCACCCATAACGCAGTAATAAAAGCTTTTCTGCCAAAATCAGCAACGTACGCTTTACAAATCCTTTAAAATTGTAGTTTAATCTAAAATCCACTAAATTTAATCTAAGATCCACTAATCGAATTACAGTATAGCAGAAACTCGAAAAAGAAGGCTATAGTCTTTAAATAATGATCCTAGAAAAATGTACGTTTAATTATAAAATTTCTTTATGTAAGATACAAAATTTTGTAAGAACAGTTTCAACATTATGGATACCTGCTTTTCTTAAATTCAGAATCTTATATATTGTATAATACGGGTAAAGTATAAAAGGTCCATTAGCAAAATATTAATATTTTAATTAATTTTCATAAATTAATTATATAATATTTTAATTGATTTGAGAAAATAATATGTACTTGAATCCAGAGTTCGGGGAAGTAGTCTTACTAATCAGCAGTTCATATGAACACCTATTAATTTAATAGTCAGTGTTAGTTTGCTTAACACGGAACCATTAACACTGTACTGCGTGTATCATACTTCTTACTGTAGCATTAATTCATGCGCAAATAATAAAACATAATGTTTATTAGGATAATAGAAAAGCATGAGCACATATTATAGCGATACTTATCTTCAAATCAGTTAACTAGCTTTGGCATACATCCCGATTATAAACATTTCACCTTTACATAACAGCGTTCTGACAGGCGGGCAAAAGAAGCTAAGGACATCAATCACTGCATCTCAAGTTTAAAAGCAATTTAAAATGTAATTGTAATAATACTTAATTAAGGCTGTCATATGCTCCAGACAATATTCCATGGTTAGGCTCTTCTCAATGATGGAGTTCAATGACGTCACTTTACTTACAGAAGGGACAAAAACGAAGACGCAATTACATTTAATTCCCCAAGGGAGTAGTTGCTTTTCAGCAAACTATGAGTCAATGACGTCATGCGCTTAAAGATTTGTGGGCGATAACAGCAAATTTTGTAGTATAGCAACCTTATAATTTGCTACAAGATCTACAACTAAAAGAAAGACGAGAGAGTTTTTCCCCCTTCACTTTTGCAAAAAGTTGTTGATTAGTCGTCTTTCGACAAGCATTTCTCATCATCCAAATTTCATTCATACGGTTATTATCGAGTAACATCCCGTTTTATTTAGTCTGTAGAAAATCTAGTGGTCTGCAGTGGTTGGTTATTTTACATCATATGTCAAAGCGCAAAATCGGACAAAAATTTTGTTCCTTCCTTATGCCTTCATGTGTGATAAAAACTTCGATCGCGAACACGAGGAAACTTTTCCTTGACAATTCTTCTCTAAATTAACTGAAAATTGTTGAATTTGTATCGCTTATAGGTACTGATAAGTGATTTAAGTCCATAAATGTATTCTGCAACATTTCTTCAATTTCTTCTTAAAAGTACGAAGCATTATGTATTTAATTTATTAAGACATCATGAATATTTTATTAATTTGACGTTTTGATCCGCATGGACCAGATAAAAGAATAATATTTTGTAATTAATACAGCTCTATTACTGAATTGAGATTGTTCTCATAAAATTTTATAGATTATTTTGAGAAACTTTTTAACAGAAAGTATACGTATAAAACTAAAATTTGAAGAAATAAAATCATGAAGCCACATACAATTCTTATATTGTCATTCTGTAAGTTCCTTTTGTATTTCATCCTATAATCTTAAATCTGTTTCAGTTTATAAATACTTCGAAAATATCTTCTCTCGTAAGAACTGGAGGCTCCTTTCAGCCTAGCTGGATAGGAGTATCCCTATAGCCCAAAAGACGAGCATCGTCTTTTCACAAACGAGGGCAGCCAGCGACCCAGCCGTCCCCAAACGATAAGTAAAAAAAATTAAATAAAGAAGCACATCTAACAACAAAACTACAAACGCAAAATCACATCATAAAACACCACAGGTATTTAAAACCCATATAAATACAGAATTCAGTTTTAACAGAAGATTCCAACAAGTTCCCTATTTTCATTAACAAACTTCATTAGAGCAAAGGTATATGATTTAAAAACTTTAAAATTAACTGTATTTACATTAAATTGTAATATAAATAATATCTTTTCTCGCATAAAACTAAAGCTGTGCGTAAACATCAATTCACGAATCAATTCAAAAGTTTGCATGTAAACAGACAGTGGATCAGATTAGGACATCAATACGTAATACGAAAGTAAGATTCTGCTAATGAGAAATTTAAGAAAGTTTCTACAGATA